GACATGTATATAAATGATATTGTTAAAATTATTTTTTACAAAGATGCGGGGTTTTTGAGAAATTTGTTTGTTGCGCTTGTCCGTTTGTTCTGAGACAGGGTCTCACTACGCAGCACTGGCTGTCCTGGAACTCACTCTATAAATCAGGCTGGCCTTGAGCTCACAGGGAGCTGACTGCATCTGCCTCCCATTAAAGGCGTGTGCCGCCACGCTACACTTTCAAAGGTGCATTTTCACTTTATGTGTGTAAATGTCTGTCCTGCGTGTGTCTGAGCACCATGTGTTTGTGCTGTGTCCCTGTTGCTCTCACCCTAGAACTGAGCTGTGAGCTGCCGTGTGGGTGCTGGGAACTGAACCTGGGTCCTCTGCAAGAGCAGTGTTCTTAACTACAGAGCCCTCTCTCTAGCTGGTCACATCGTTTGGCTCCTGTGCAAACTGCTTGAGGAGGAAGAGGAAAAAGAGGAGGAGGCTCTCCTGAGGCACAGGCATACCTGAGAGCTTGTCCTCTGCACCCAGACACAGGGAATCAGAACGAGATGGCCTGCCTGGGAGCATATAAAAACCCACCCTCCCCCTCCCCCTTGCCCTTCATCGAAGAGAAGCCCTTCCTATTGTTGCATGAGACCATCTGGGGGCTGGGAAGATGGTTCAGAGATTAAGAGTGCTGGCTGCTGTTCCAGAGGACTTGAGTTCAGTTCCCAGCACCATCACCCGGAACTGGATTCAGGGCATCCGATGCTCTCCTGGGGCATGTGTGTACGCACGCACACGTGCACGTGCACGATAATAATGATGACAACAAAGGGATCTGTAAGCAGCCATCTGGGAGTGGGTGAAAGGCTCTGGTATGGAGGGCTGCTGGGAGAATGGCAGAGAGAGAGAGAGAGAGAGAGAGAGAGAGAGAGAGAGAGAGAGGGTTTGGAAAAGGGGCTAAGAAAACACAGTTAGAGGCCGGGGTGCAGTCAGTAGCAGAACACATGTCTAGCATGCCCAAGGCCCTGGGTTCCATCCCCAGCACTGGAGAAAAACAAACACAAAACCCACCAGACAGGAAAAATCAGTTCCACAGCCCAGCGTGGCAAGGGCTGGCTGTTGACACTGACTAATTATGCAGCGTATCACTCACTGGACTAGGAACTCCCAAGCACTTGCGCAGAGAAAGCTACGCCATTTGAGGAGCCGGGTGTACCACCCACCTGGATTTGATCACTGTGCTTGGTATTGGGGTATTCCTGTGGAGAATAACCACACTGTGTGCCGTGTGTCAATCAAATGCCTTCAAAAGGCGCCGCACAAGCCCCTGGCGGCACGCTTCTGTCCCGAGGGCTGGGGCTGGGCTCAGTGTGGAGAGCGTTGCCCAGCATGTGCCAGGTCCTGGGCCCAACCCACAGCACTGAGGCAGCATCTCACTGTGTAGACCAGGAATTTACAACATAGACCAGGCTGGTCTCCTCCAACTCACAGAGATACACCCGCTCCTGCCTCCCGAGTGCTGAGTTTAAAGGCATGCGCCACCAACACCCGGCTACTTTAGCTTTCTAAAATAGAGTTTCATCAGGGACTCGGAGAAAGATGAACCCCTCAATAGAACACCAGGGAAAGGATCTTGTGAGTGTGTCATCACTGTTAACCTGACTGAAATGGAATCACTGAGGGGACCCGCCCCTGTCTGGGAGGGCGTTTCCAGAGAGACTTAGCAGAACAGAAGGCCAGCCCTGAATGTGAGTGGCACCGTCCCATGGGTTGGGCTCCCAGACTGGATACAGAGGACAAAAGAACCCCAGCGTGCCCTGCATTCTGCAGTGCTGGGATTAAAATATGTGTCACTATACCAGGCTTCAGCCACTTCTTGACCATGGTTTTTGAGGCAGGGTCTCTTACTCAATCTGAAGCTGGCCATTCCAGGTAGGCTGCTCGGCCTATAGCGTCCAGTCTACTGTGTCCATCTATCCAGCGCTGAGCTTAGGGGTATGTGCCGCCATGCCCTGATTTTATGTGGGTACTGGGATCCAAACTCAGGTCCCTACGCTTGCACAACAACATGCTTCACCCATGAAGACGTTTCCCCAGTCCCAAGTGTCTCCATAAACCATGAGCCAAAATAAACCCTTCTTCCTTAACTTGCTTTCTGTCCCTGAAAAGGCAACAGGCCAGAAGCAAAGTGCAGACGGAGTCCACACAGCCAGAGCTGTCCCTTACAGGCGTCCAAAGGGGCACAAAACAGACTGGAAGATTCTAGCGATCACGTGGACAGTGGTGGTGGTGGTGGTGCTACTAACAAATTTTAACAAAGAATCTAGATGTGAGCATGCATAGACCCCAGAATTCCATTCCTGGGGGGAGCAGTCTAAGGTCTACACAACGCATCCAAAGGCATTGCTAGAAGCCGCCAGGTGATGGTGGCGTACACCTTCAATCCCAAAGCTACACAGAGAAACCCTGTCTCAGAAAAAAGGAAGGAAGGAAGGAAGGAAGGAAGGAAGGAAGGAAGGAAGGAAGGAAGGAAGGAAAAGAAAATGAGAGGACGTCTAAGGACCATGAGATACCACACTAAATAGTAGTCCATCAAGTATATTAATTCCAAAACTGCAGCCTGATGGAAATCTAGCCAGCTATGATCTGCTTACAACAGTGCACAAAGCTTCCAGAAGCCTGTAAGATGGCTCCAACTGTATGAGGGAAAGAAGAATCTTTGTACTTCATGACTTGAATCGACTGAGACAAGATTTCATGTAGGCTAGCCTTAAACTTGCTTTGTAGCTGAGAATGACCTTGAACTTCTGATCCTCCTGCCCTGACTCACAAGTGCTGGACTTATGGGCATGCTCTAATATGCCAAGTTTTGAATTAAGTAGTTTTAATCATGTCATGTTCTTATATTAGGGCTCTCTAGAAGAACAAACTTTATAGAATGAAAACACACACACACACACACACACACACACACACACACACCTCTGGATGTGTCAGTTGGCCTTCGGTATATGCTGAAACCCCGAAGCAGGCTGTAATACCAGCGAAGGAATGGACTTGCCAATGAGAGGCATAGAGAGAGCAAGCTTCCTTCTTCCATATCTTTTTTTTTTTAAAAAGATTTATTTATTTATTTATTATGTATATAGAGTTATGCTTGCAGGTTTGCCTGCAGGCCAGAAGAGGGCACCAGATCTCATTATAGATGGTTGTGAGCCACCATGGGGGTGTTGGGAATTGAATACAGATCTGTAATGAGATCTGGTGCCCTCTTCTGGCTTGTATGAATACATAAAGGCAGAAAGCTGTATACATAGTAATAAATAAATCTTCAAAAACAAAAACAAAAAAGAACCACCATCACAGTTCTCTAAATTAGAAACTTCCAAAGCTCATTCTCCAATAGGCAGTAAACAGTGTCTATGGGAAGCATGTCATGTGGTAAAAAGTTTCCTTGAGGCAGGGTGCTGGTGGCACACACCTTTAATCCCAGCACTTGGGAGGCAGATGCAGGCGGATCTCTGTGAATTGGAAGCCAGCCTGGTCTACAGAGTGAGTTCCAGGACAACCTCCAAAGCTACAGAGAGAAACCTTGTCTCAAAAAACAACAACAACAAAGTTTCCTTGACCACCTGTTTTTGGGAAATCCCAAACTAATGTATGTATGTTTGTCTGTTTGTTTACATGTCTATTTAGCAGTGCTGGGAATCAAACACAGGACCTCAAACTCGATAGGCAAGTGCTCTCTCGCTAATGTACTGATTGTACAGGCTAGTTTTGTACCAACTTGACACAAGCTGCAGTCATCAGAGAAGAGGGAATCACAATTGAAAAAGAAAATGTCTCCATAAGATCCGGCTATAGGCAAGTCTGTAGGGCATTTTCTTAATTAGTGGTTTACTGGAGAGGGCGCAGGCCATTGCGGGCTTGTCCTGGGTTCTATAAGACAGCAGGCTGAACAAGTCATGAGGAGCAAGTGAGGGAGCAGCCCCCTCCATGGCCTCCGCATCAGCTCCTGCCTCCAGGTTCCCGCCTTCACTGCTTTGATGATGAACAATGACATGGAACCGTGACATAAACACTGTCCTGCCCACGTTGCTTTGGCCATGGTGTGACCCTGACTAGCACGCTGCCTTCTTTTTGTTGCTATTGTTGCTTTATGCTTTTTGTGGTTTTTTGTTTTGTTTTGTTTTTTGTTTTTGTTTGTTTGTATTGTTTTTTAAGACAGGATTTCTCTGTGTAGCCCGAGCTGTCCTGGAACTCACTCTGCAGACCAGGCTGGCCTCAGACTCACAGAGAGTTGCCTGCCTCTGCCTCCCAAGTGCTGGGGTTAAAGGTTTTCACCAATACACTGTTGGTGATGCTGTCTTTGTAATGAGTCACAGTGAGCATCATCATAGTAAAAGCTCAGAGAAGTCATGCAGGAAAGAAGAGTGTGTGTGAGTGTGTGTTTTGAGTGTGTGTGAGCGTGTGTGTGTGTGTGTGTGTGTGAGCATGGGGTGTGTGTGAGAATGTGTGAGTATGTGTGTGGAGTGTGTAAGTATGTGTGTGAATGTGTGTGGGGTGTGTGAGCATGTGAGTGTGTGTGTGAGTGTGTGTGTGGGTGTTAGAGCATGGGGTGTGTGTGAGTGTGAGCATGTGTATGTGTGTGTGTTAGAGCATACATACACTGTGCAGGCCATGTATGTGGAGGTCAGAGTCAACATCAGATGTCTTCTCCCATTGCTCCCACCTAATTTTTCAAGGCAGGGTCTCTCCCTGAACCTGGAGCTTGCAAACGAGGCCAGGCTGGCTGGCTGGCTGGGAGCCCCAGGGGTCTGCCTGTCTTGGCCTTCCCAGCACAAATGCACATTCCTGCATCTGGCTTTCTACATGGGTGCTAGGGGCCTGAACTCAGATAGTCATGCTTGAACAGCAAGCACCCCCCACACCCGAGCTGATCTCTCCAGCCCCTAACTTCGGCTTTTAAAGTATTTTCAGCTGTTCAGACCATGCAGTGGAGGCGAGGATCTCTTTTTCATCTCTTTGCACCTCCACTGCAAAGATGGTCAACGTGCCTAAAACCCGAAGGACTTTCTGTAAGAAATGTGGCAAGCACCAGCCTCACAAAGTGACCCAGTATAAGAAGGGCAAGGGTTCCCTGTATGCCCAAGGAAAGCGGCTCTACGATCGAAAGCGGAGTGGTTACGGTGGGCAGACAAAGCCGATTTTCCAAAAGAAGGCCAAAACCACAAGGAAGATTGTGCTGAGGCTTGAGTGTGTGGAGCCCAACTGCAGATCGAAGAGGACGCTGGCCATTAAGAGCTGCAAGCACTTTGAACTGGGAGGAGACAAGAAGAGAAAGGGCCTAGTGCTCCAGTTCTAAAACTTGTGTCTCCAGAGAGGAAAACGCTGAAGCAGTAGGAAAATGACCGGTTAGAAAATAAAGTTGGACACGGAGCAAGGTGGCGGTGGTGGCGGCGGCGGCGGCTAGTATGGTGCGGGGACACTTGCGGAGAGTTTCTGGACTTGGCGCCCGCAGCATTGTAGTTGATAGTTCCTGAAGCAATTCATCCAGGTATGGATGAAGAACTAGAAAGAGATGAAAAGGTGTTTCTGCTTGGGGAAGAAGTTGCCCAGTAGGATGGTGCATACAAGGTTAGGAGTGGCCCATGGAAGAAATACGGTGACAAGAGGATCATAGATAGCTCCCATATCAGAGACGGGCTTTGCCGGAATCTCTGTTGGTGCAGCTATGGCTGGGTTGCGGCCCATCTGTGAATTTATGACCTTCAGCTTCTCTATGCAAGCCATTGACCAGGTTACAGACTCAGCTGGGAAGACTTACTACATGTCTACTGGCCTCCAGCCTGTGCCCACAGTATTCGGGGGTCCAATGGTGCCTCAGCAGGTGTAGCTGCTCAGCACTCATAATGCTTTGCTGCATGGTATGGGCATTGTCCAGGTTTAAAAGTGGTCAGCCCCTGGAATTCCAAGGGTGCAAAAGGACTCATTAAATCGGTCATTCGTGGGCTGGAGAGATAGCTCAGCGGTTAAGAGCACTGACTGTTCTTCCAGAGGTCCTGAGTTCAATTCCCAGCAACCACATGGTGGCTCACAACCACCTTGAATGAGATCTGGTGCGCTCTACTGGCATGCTGAAGATTGTATACATAATAAATAAATAAAATATTTTTTAAAAAATCGGTCATTCGTGGTGATGATCCGGTGGCGATGCTAGAGAATGAACTAATATATGGAGTTGCATTTGAACTTCCTACAGAAGCTCAGTCAAAACATTTGATTCCTATTGGAAAAGCCCAAATTGAAGGGCAAGGGACCCACATCACTGTAGTTGCCCATTCAAGACCAGTGGGCCACTGCCTAGAAGCTGCAGCGGTATTGTCTAAGGAAGGAGTTGAATGTGAGGTGTTAAGTTTGCGTACTATCAGACCAATGGACACTGAAGCCATAGAAGCCAGTGCTATCACGACAAATCACCTTGTAACTGTGGAAGGAGGTGGGAGCTGAGATTTGCGCCAGAATCATGGGCCTGCATTCAGTTTCCTTGATGTTCCTGCTGTTCCCGTCACTGGTGCTGATGTCCCTATGCCTTATGCAAAGATCCTAGAAGACAACTCCATACCTCGGGTCAAAGACATCATATTTGCAATAAAGAAGACATTGAATGTCTAATTTGGGCTCCGAATATCAAGTCATTGAGATTTATTTAAAATACTTATTGGGACTTCATCTGATGTGTACTGAGAAACTTTCCCAGTCAATGTTAGAGCAGCAGCAGGTGTCTCTGTACTGATAAGAAGTTTAAATATGCTTATAAGTGGAAAAATCCACTCCTGGCCCTAGATGCTATACTTTTTTTGTCTCTTATGGTTGGTCTAGCCTTTGAATGAGATTAATGTAAATATTTCCCTCTTTTACTACAAGGGGCAAGAATGTTGCAGAGTCCTGATGGAAGATATACCCCCAGAAGATATATGTTTAAAAAGTATATTGTCTACATTTGCTTTTAAACTGTTTTGATAAGGAATAAGAGGGATTTCTACCTATGAGTAATTGTGCGTATCCCCCCCCCCCCCCCAGGTTTCTCTATGTAACAGTCCTGGTGGTCTGGATACTCACTCTGTAGACCAGGCTGGCTTCAAACTCACGGAGATCTGCTTGCCTCTGCCTCCCAAGTGCTGGGATTAAAGGCGTGTGCTGACACCATTATTGTAATCCAGGCAAACCTGGCCCCGTCTCTCACCCACCTGCACATGGCAGGTGTTTGTACCCTGAATCTTCATTCTCTGTCCCTCCCTCTTTCCTGCTGCTCCCCTGGGGCAGACAGGACTTTTCCTGTTTCCCTCTTCTCTTCTGTCCTCTCTCTGTCTCTGTGTCTCTTTACCTCTTCTCCCCACCCCCACCCCGCCCCAGCTTCCCTTTCTAAAAAAACTTCTCATTTAAAAAGAAAAAGAAAATAAAGTTATTGTTCCTGAACCTAAAAAAAAAGTATTTCCATACTCATGCAGCTGTGGAGCACTGGTCAGAAGCTAGGCGTGGTGATGTGCATCCCAGCACTCAGGAGGCAGAGGCAGGAAAATCAGCAGTCCGAGGCCAACCCCCCAGTCTCAAATATAAGGAAAATTCCAGATGGCCTTTTGAAGACCCAGGTCCACGGGTAATTAACCTTGGGGAACGCTTGGTCACAGGAGTTCCTGGAGGAAAGGACTGAGGAACTGGGCCTCCTTGTCTCAGGCTGAGTGTAACAACATGGACGTTTGCTATGAAGGAGGGCAGCTTCTGGCTGTGTGTAGGTGCTGTGGAAGTTTCAGGGCTGAAAGGAGCCTACCCAGCCACAGTTTCTGACTACATGGGGTGTCAAAGCTGCTGGGTGCCTGACCCACAGAAGGTGCCATCAAACCATGTGCTGGTGTCAGTAGGGCTGACCGGGGATGTCCCCAAACCATGCTTTAGTGAGCTGCAGCTCTCTTCTTGGGCAGCGGCTGGGAAGGCATCACACAGGGAGGAGCCGAGGCAGCCAGAGGTAACTAGAGAGAATGGCGTGAGACACATGGAGGAGCAGCCAGCCTAGGGACCAGGAATCCCTCAGAGTCTGCCCTGGTTTCCTGATCACTCCAGGTAGCACAGTCACCTGGAGTGAGTCACTTCCTAGCCAGTTTGCAAACCTGGGGTCAGGGGAGCCTAGGAGTGGGTTGCCCTCCCTCAGTGGGCCCTGGCCAGGGCCTGTGTGTTTTAGGGACACACATAAGTGGATGGACACCTCCTCCCCACTGAGGAAAGCCAGGAGAGCAGTAGTTAGCCCAGCCTGGTTGTGGGGGCAAACTCCCTGAGCTTTAGTTTCATCTGGAAAGTGGGGATAATAATGTCCTCGTGGACAAGGTGTTACAAGATCACGGGGTCTACAGGAAAAACCACCGTACAGGGGGGTGCTGCTAGTATTACTGATGCTGTTGCTCATTTTCACGATGAAGGTCATGATGGTGATGGAGATGGTAGAGGTGGTCGTGATGGTGATGGTGATGACGATGATGATGACAGTGATGAGGGTGGAGACGGTGGTGATGGGAGTGGTGGCAGCCGAGATGAAGAAGGTGCTGATTGTGGTGATGATGATGGGAGTGGAGATAATGATGACGATGGTGACGGAAGGTGGGGCGCTATGGATTGGACCCATGGACAAATGCCACCAATGAGGCCCTCCGACACACAGCTGTACCCTAATTATTCTTGGCAGAGGAAAAGAAACCATCAGAAACTTCTATGAAGGAGGCCTGACTCAGGTGTGTCCAGCACTTGGACTAGGGATGGGCACTAGACCCTGGTGAGCCTCTGTGTTCTGGATTTAAGAGGGTACAGCGGTGTTCCCAGGCACCTGCTACTTTCAAGGCTAACTGTGGGTCTTGAAACAGGCTTGTGCCCTGAGAGAAGGATTTGTGAACACCACAGAAGCCCATCTAGTCCAGGGACAAGTGCCTCCTTCTGCCCTCAGGCACCCGAGAGTGAGCATGAGCCTGTTTGCCACCTTGAAGGGAACCCACTGCCACCAGGCCAAGGACAACTTTTGCCAGGTGGAGGTTCTGCGATCCACGGCTGTCCCAGCCTGGGAGTTTGGGAAGGGCTTCATCTCTGAATGTCGCTGCCACATTCAGGCTGTGGTGGGGCTGGGTTTAATGGGTGGCTGATGGTGAGCTCCAAGCATGCGGTGGCAGCGATAGTGATCTGAGCTTATGCCTGTCTGTGGTGGAGGTTGGAATGGGGACACAGCAAGGCTCTCTGGTGTGCACCTGTCTTTCCCAGCTTCATCGATTGTTAATGGAAGCTGGGCAGTGGTGGCGAGCGCCTTTAATCCCAGCACTTGGGAGGCAGAGGCAGGTGGATCGCTGAGGTCAAGGCTAGACTAGTCTACAGAGCGAGTTCCAGGACAGCCGGGGATACACAGGGAAACAAATCCTGTGTTAAAAACAACAACAACCAAACCAATAGCTTATGGAGATGCACTCTTGCAGGGCTGCATCCCTGAGCAATAAGGGGATATTATAAGTGTAGAATAACTCTGGGCAGTGCGGGTAGTGGTGGCTCACACCTTTAACCCCAGCAGGTGAATCTCTGAGTTCAAAGTCAATCTAGTCTACAGAAAGAGTTCTATGCTGGCCAGGGCTACACAGAGAAACCCTGCCAAAAAACAAAACAACAACGACAACAACTAAAGCATAGGACAGCAGCCAGGACACTAGCTACAGCCTGCAGGTAGGTCCCCAGCCAGATCCAGCCATTTATCATCACGGTCTGGGACTAGAACATGGACCTCTCCAGTTTGCTGCATGGATGGGGCTCCCAGCAAGTCTTTCTAGAAGAATAAATAAAGTCTTGTTATTAACTCTGTCTGAATCACCGGTTGCAGTCAGCTCTGTAAGTGTGACGCCAAAATTGGCTGCAAAAGGCCCGGAGAGACTCATTACGCACAGCTAAAACATGATTAAAAATCAGTGCAGCTACCCGTGCATGGATTTCAGGAGGCCTGGACAGCAAAGGCCGCAGGCAGAGCACACTTACCCGAAAAGCAGGGAAGCCAATGGAACTGGATGGGGCTCCAGGTGAGGGAGAAGAGATCCTCTCGGAAACAACATCAGTCCTACCTGGGCCTCAGTCTGGAGGCCTCTGCTACCCATGAAGGCCGGTGTGGTGATGCACAGGACTAGCCCAGGGGACAAGCCCTGAGATCCTGCCCTACCTGCCACTCTGGGGTGGCCATGGGCAAACCAACTGGCCCCTGGGTGGCAGTAACCCAAGAGGCAGCAACAGTTCAGCTTCCTTGTGCCCTTCTGTAATAGCCTGTGAAATTCAACAGGGTCATCTGTCCAT